AGCTTACCCATTAATGCTGGTTGAAGGTATGTCACGTTGCGCAAGGTTCAAGGCAACAGCATCGGCCGTTCGTTTGGTCTGCACGAAAATTAGTGTGCGGAACAAGCCACGATTATTCTTTTTCTCCTCCTCCAAAATCTCCACAAGCTTGTCCAACTTGTCTGCCGCTGCCACCTTGAACAAATAAAGAAATTACTGAAAATGACAAACGAAATCTGTGCGCAGAGGAACTGCCTGTCCTACCGGCAGTGTTGACCCTTCGGCATACTGCATGACAGTAGGACCTGCCGGTCCAATAATGCGTTATATTCAGTGCATTTTACTCTCTCACTTTTACATTTTTAGTTTTTTTGCATGTTACTAACTTGTGTGTAAGAACACTGTAAATTATTACGAAAAATAATTGGCGAACGCATGGGCTGCCCGTGCGAAGATACGTTTTTGCATAGCTCCCCGCAGATTTTTGTCGCTAAGGCACTTGTTTTCCCGACAGATGCCTCTAGCTAAAAGAATTTCAGACTGGCCGCCAGGACTGTCAGGAAACAGCCCTTCATAGCTTCTCACTTTCCCGACTTGCCCGAAAAAAATTTTGGCGGACCCGTACGTGGGTACCACACTTGTCCAAGGGCCGGCTTTAAGCACTTTAACGGGGAACATCATCCCAAGATTTCAGCTTTCTATCTTCTCAGATCCCCGAGTTATGAACTCACCCGTAAAAAACTTTGGCGGACTCGTACGTGGGTACCATGCGGGTAAAGGCGCCCATTTTGGGGAATGAGGCCCGTATGTGCATGTGGATTAGGTTCCCAAAGTTTCAGCCCCGTAGCTTTTGAAGGTCCTGGGGTGAAAAATCAGTACAGACAGACACACAAACACATGGACACACAGATAACCCCTCGTCAATATGCGCTTTCTGCTTTGCATAGCTGCAAACCCAGGCTGGAACGCACCAGGCGGGCCGGAGCGATTATGCGTTTTTGCACTTTCGTACCGTAGCAAGATCGCAAGGAAATAAGTGTAGCTAACCCTGTGAAATACTGGCCCTCGGAGTTCGGAAGTAAATTGTGCAACTATGTGGTATGTCAGTTGTAACCCTGATGAAATACTGGCCCTCGAAGTTCGGGAAGTTAATTGTGCAACTATGTGGTGTGTCAGTTGTAGGTGTCGGAAATACTGGCCCTCGAATGTGCCGTAGCAAGATCGCAAGGAATCAAAGTAGCTAACCCTGTGAAATACTGGCCCTCGAAGTTCGGGAAGTTAATTGTGTGACTATGTGATGTGTCAGTTGTAGATGTCGACTTCAATCACCCGACAAATGGAAAGTTGTTGGTCCGCAAAAAAAGGCCACACAAGAAAAGTTAAGTCTAAAATTTTTTAGTTGCAACAGGAGCAGAAAACATTCCCTTAAGATTAAAGCATTCAGCTTTTCCCGTTTCTGAGTTAGCAGTTTTCCTATCAAAAATTTTTTCACCTGTCCGTACATGAGTAGAGGACGGTTTTAAGGAGATGAGTTTAAAATCTTTTGATCATACACGAGTAGGGAACATTGCCCTGAAGTTTCAGCTTTCTAGCTTTCCCCGTTCCCGAGCTAGTAATTTTCGCGCCAAAATTTCCACGCGTTTGTATTTGGGGACGGGCGCTTCCAAATACCTGATCTTGGTCGTACATGAGCAGAAAACATCCCCCGAAAGTTTCAGCTTTCTAGCTCTTCTCATTCAGGGCTAGTAATTTTCGCGCCAAAATTTCCACGCGCGTACTTGGGCTCGGGCGCTTCCAAACACCTGATTTTGCTCGTACATGAGTGGGGAACATTCCCTTAAAGTTTTCTAGCTTTTTCCGTTCCCGGGCTAGTAATTTTCGCGCCAAAATTTCCACACGCTCGTATGTGGGCTCGGGCGCTTCTAAACGCTTGATTTTGCTCGCACATGAGTA